AATTGTTAAAAACTGAGTTATCTGTTTTTGCAAATGAACTCTTCATATATAAAAAAAATTAAATGTAATGTTAAAATACTTTCTCATATCCAAATATTGTCGATTTACTTTTTTTTTTTTTTTAACTACTCTTACATAATCTTTAATTGCGCCTGTCTCAGGTGATCACGGATCTGGAGGAGCAGCTGACGCAGCTGACGCAGGAAAACTCAGAGCTGAACCGACAGAACTTCTACCTGTCCAAACAGCTGGACGAACATACCCAGCCCTACTTAGACTAAGCCAGGATTGAGCCATAGTTCAATTAGGACATTTAGGTAATTTTTATAAACGCGCCTTAGAAAAAACATTACTGGTGTGCATCTTTAGACAAAACTAAATGACATGCACTGACATGTTTTAAAGGTCCCATGACATGCTGCTTTTTGGATGCTTTTATATAGGCCTAAGTGGTCCCTAGTACTGTATCTGAAGTCTCTTTCCCGAAATTCAGCCTTGGTGCAGAATTTCAGCCACTACGAGCCAGTCCCACAATGAGCTTTCCTTAGGACGTGCCATTTCTGTGTCTGTAGCTTTAAATGCTAATGAGGAGGAGAGAGGCGGGGCAACTGCCATGCTTCGCTCATTTGCAAGCCATGATGTCTCTCGAGGAAAAAAAAAATATTGCACTCGCCTGGCACTGTAGTAGCTCATTTTCTCATGGGCGGGCCAAATTCTCTGGGCGGGCAAAGCAGAGAAAGGGGAGGTAACCTTTCCCCGTATGACGACATAAAGGGAAGATTCCAGATTGGGCCATCTGAGCTTTCATTTTCTCAAAGGCAAAGCAGGATACCCAGGGCTCAGTTTACACCTATCGCCATTTCTAGCCACTGGGGGACCATAGGCAGGCTAGGGGAACTCATATTAATGTTAAAAAACCTCATAAAGTGAAATTTTCATGCCATGGGACCTTTAAGATCAATCAGTGTAAGTTTCTTTAAGCTGAAACAGCTCAGACTTTTTACATTTTAGTCTGGGACTTGGCTTATGCCTTGTCTGTGAAATCGGCCGTATAAGTGTCACAGAAACCCAGCAATATCTGATCATTTTAAAATAGTAATTCAAAGGCCTGGAAAAGTCTTTGAGATTAATCACATATTAATAAAACCAAATTTCATGTAAAAAAAGGTGAAGTATAAAACTAAAACTAAAATTTATTTAGTTAAATCGAGTTGACAGTAAATACATTTATAATGTTACAAAATATTTCTATTTAGAGTAAAATCTATTAAATTGTTTCAAATGTAAATTAAAATTATTTAAAATTATAATAAGTTATGCTTATCTACTAATCTACTTTTATCTTTTTTTATAAACTTTTCTATTTTATAAACATTGTTTTTTGTTATTGTATTCTCTATAAAACTACAAAATTAGGTTTGTCCATTCATTATGAAAACTGGACAAATCATGCAATATTAAATGATTGCTGTTGTAAGTTACATTTCTCAGTTACTTTATATAAAGTTATAACATTATTAGTGTCATAGAAAATTACCATTTTAAAATGGTAATTTTCTGGGCCTGAAAAAATTATTGGAAATTAATAATAATAATATTTTAAAAAATATAAAAAAATAAAATTAAAACAAAGAAAGAAAATTCAGCTTTGATCACAGAAATAAATTATATTTTACAATATATTACAATAGAAAACACTTACATTAAATTGTAATAATATTTCACAATTTTACTGTTTTTACTGTATTTCTGACCAAATAAGCCTTAGTGAGTAGAAGAGACTTCTTTCGAAAACATTAACAAATATTACCAACTCCAAATTTTTTGGTCTGTCATATATATGGTGGTCACATAATTATTTATTCCTCGATCTGCTGGCTAAAAATATATGGAAGTTTGTAATGCATCATATTTGGAGTTTAGTTTCTGTAAAAGCTATGGAAGGCATTTATATGATATATAGTGTAGTATGTTTTCTTAATTTCTCATGATATGATATGTTTTACGGTTTGAAAAGTGATGACACAACACATGAACAGCAAATCACAGCTGTCCTCCTCAGTGCCAAAACAAAGCTGTTTAATAAGCTGGAAAATGATGCTCGCGGGCTCCATAGTTATGCGCGATGATGCCGCAGCAGGCTGTGTGTGTGTGTGTGTGTGAGGTGATGTAGGCGCGTGGGATGTGTGTGTAGGTGTGCAGTCCTCGCTGTTGTATAACAGTAGCGGATGGTAATCATAGACGCTGGTGGGAGGCAGAGATGTGTCATATTCTCCCCTCTGCCCTGCCAGCATTGGACTTCACAGGGGCAAAAGCACGCCGGCTATATTTGGAGACTCTCTCTCTCTCCTTCTGTGTCTTTCTGAAATGTGGTAATATCCAGTCCTGCCGCTGAGATGCACTTCCGAGCACATCTGCCTGCTTCAAGACCCCCTCGATCCCCCCGCCGGCTCTCTGAGGATCAATTCCGATTGGCAGCGATTCTGAAATCCGGACCTGCTAATGAAAGTCAAAAAGAAAAAAATCTGCAGCTTCCTTTCCACATCTATCAGCATAATTTCGGCATTATATCATGCAGTTTCTTAGATGCCGTCTGGTGGTTTGCAGCAGATGCATTGAATAAGTTATCACCGATCTGTTTCTTTTTATCAAGGTTTCTGCCGTCATAGAGATACGGAAATATCTGGCCATTTTAAAATGGTGATTTCCAGACCTGGAAACGTCTTTAAAAATGATTTTAAATTAAATAAGAGTTGAACTCATAAAAATGTATAAAGCTTTAAATTATTTAAAACTTTAAAAATCATAGAAACTTTTATGATGACAGTAAATGTGAATAAAATAAGATTATAATGATTTCATTTTAAATTAAAATTAAATAAAATTATTTAAATAAATAACATTTTAAATAACACAGAAATTTATTTAATTTATAAAAACGTATGTTTATCTAAATTTCCAGACCTGGAAAAATCTTGATCATTAAAAGCTTTAAAATAAAATGGACATTTCTGTAATGAAAATAAATGTAAATAAAATGTAACTTGAAATTACAATTATTTACAATTTATTTAAATACAACTTATTTAGCTTATAAATTTCAGGGTTTGGAAAAGCCTTGGAAATTAATAAAATCTTTCCTATAAAATGGAAACCTCTGTATTGAAAATAAATGTAAATTAAATTAAATAAAATTATAATTTAATTAAATTATAAATTAATTTAAAATTTATTGAAGTTAAATAATAAAATCCTAAAAAATGAAACATCTCTAATAAAAATTTAAATAAAATTACATTTCTTTAAAATGTATTAACTAGTAAAATGTTATACTCATCTACTAATCTCTAAACATTTTATCTGCTAGACAGTGTTATCTGTAAATGCATTCTCTCTAAAACAACAAAATAATAAAAAAATTATGAATAACTGGACAAGTCAGGAAAAAATGGAATGACTGTTTGAGTAACATTATTATGAGTGTATTTCTATGCTACAAAAGTGTGATAGTGTGATAGCATAGAAATGATAGATGTGCTTGTGTGTGTAGAACATCGAGACGCTGAAGACCACATGTACGATGCTGGAGGAGCAGGTGCTGGAGCTGGAGACGCTGAACGATGAGCTGCTGGAGAAGGAGAGACAGTGGGAGAACTGGAGATCTGCCCTGGAAGAGGAGAAGAACCAGGCGGAGCGCCGAGCCAGAGACATACAGAGACAACTGGACAATGAGAAGCAGAACAGGTACAGAAACCACACGTTTGACTGTGAGAGCTGGATGACAAGATATGAGTTTGAGCCTGGATAACATTTCAATTTAGTGGCTTTATTATGAGGACAAAGACAGTCAAGTCACCTTTATTTTTATAGCGCTTTATACTATACAGATTGTTTCAAAGCAGCTTAACAGTGATGAACAAGAAAATAGTGATTCAATGATGCAAACAAAATTCAATTCTGATGTAAATCAGCTCTAAAAATACAATAGTAAACAAAGCACTCTAACTTAGCTTTATACAATGAAAACTGTAAACGGAGATATATTAAGATTTATTAGTTTAGAAATGTATATAAAACATTTAAAAATATATAATTTGCGAATTTCATATAAAAAGGTGACATATTATATATAAAAATGATAAAATAATATCAAATCATTTTAGAAATAATTTTAGAACTTTTCTTTTTTTTTATCAGGCCTTCATTTATTTCTGTATTTATTAATGCAAAATTAAATTGAATATATAAATGCATATATTTAATGCACATAACTACATTATTTCATTACATATGTTTAGGATATAAAAAGGCTAGCTATGCATATAGCCCTACTCCAGAAAAATGTTTCCATTGCATATTGACATGATACATCATTTGGATAGTCCAAAAAAATTAATAATAATAATAAAATAAAATAAAAATCGATGCATTTAGTGGATTTATGATGATGTCAAAGGACTTTATACAAAGCTTTATACAATGAAAACTGCAAACTTAGATATAATAATAATAATAATAATTATTATTATTATTATTATGTAACATATATTAAATATTTTATATGGTTAAATAATTCATAAATAAATATAGATATACAGTGGTGTGAAAAAGTGTTGGCCCCCTTCCTGATTTCTTATTTTTTTGCATATTTGTCACACTTTAATGTTTCAGATCATCAAACAAATTTAAATATTAGTCAAAGATAACACAAGTAAACACAAACAACAGTTGAAGGCATGATAAAAATGTTGACATTAATGCAAATATAAATGAATGAATGCATATCTTTAATGCAAATCAATATACATTATTAAATGCATAAAATTCTAGATTTGTATATAGCCTCCAAAAGAAAGAATTCTGCTGTGATATGTTTATATATAACTGTTGACATTATCAGTGTACAAAATAAACTAGAAAGTGTTAAAAGTTTGTTAAAACAGTTTATATTTGAATGTCCACAGGGCCAGAAGTGCCCATAGTTATATAAGAGTTACATAAAGAACGTTAAGTATAGAGATGACACTGAGTAAGAGACATACTGTGCTGCTCCAACACTTCATTCTTCTATAACTCTCTCTCTCTCTCGGTCTCCAGACTCCGTGCAGAGCAGCGTAATTCTGAGTCTCGTCAGGCCGTTGAACTGGCGGTCAAAGAGCACAAAGCTGAAATCCTGGTACTGCAACAGGCCCTGAAAGACCAGAAACTCAAAGCTGAAGGTCTTTCTGATACGGTAAGTGTGCCAGTGCTCGTGCGTCGCTGTGGATAAAAACACCTGCTTAATGACAACAGGAATACTTATTCTGTATCAGGGTCAGAAATGAACTTTTCCATTAAGGGGCAATATTTACCCTCTTGAATAGATTTCCAGGGGCATTTTTACCTTTATAAGGGAAATTTTTATATTACTTTATTAATTGTATCTGTGTTGTCAACCCTCTGGTGCTGTTTGGTCATTTTGGATTTTTTTTTTCTTTAGAATTTTTGGTATGGAATGGTACAAAACTTGGTAATGGTTGTGAACACACACACACACATGTTTGTTTCTGTGAATTGTGGGGACTTTTCATAGACTTCTATTACTTTTATACTATCCAAACAATATTTTTTATCCCCTAACCCTAAACCTACCCCTTACAGAAAACCTGTTTGCATTGTTACACTTTCAGATAAACATCATTTACTATTTTTAATCATTTTTTCCCTCGTGGGGACCACAGGCCGGTCCTCATAATGTCAAACATTTCAGGTTTTACTATCCTTGTGGGGTCCCCACAATGTAGCATAGACAAGTACACACACACACACAAATAAAACAAAATAACACGGACATGATTTGAAATGGTTAAATGGTCCTGAAAAATGTCCTGGTATTGTTCCTAAACTCTTAAGGTCATTTTTTTTTTAGATATCAACCTCAAATTTGGAACACAGCTTGTTTAGATTTATGGCTTTGATTTTCTTCATGTTTTTGGAAAATATACATTCATATAAAAATATAAAATAGTATATTTGTATCTTTTTCATGATAATAATAAGACACTTTTTTAAAACTTTTTTTTTTTTTTTCACTTCAGCAAAAATCTGCCAAGTGTCTCATTTAAAAGAGACCAAACTTAAGACTGTGCTCCAAAGAATTCAAAATTTACGTTTAGGTTGGAAATGTCATTTTCATGTCTATGCTTAAAAAGTTAACAGGTTGATCATAACTATATATTATAAATACAATTTAGTACTATAAAATCACCAAAAAGTATCAAATATGAAAAAAATATATATATATATATCGAACTAAAATATAACATATATTTAATTGAAAAAACAAATCAGTGATTTTTGATCGCCACACAAGCAGCACCAGAGGGTTAAATTTAACCAATTACTTAAATGAATCTGAATACACCAATAACAAAAAAACTGATTAAAGTTGTATGTAAATATAAATAAAAAAACAGAATTATTATTGCTGATATAATAATTATAAATGTATAATAATAATATATAATAATACATATTAACTGAACTCATATTGTAAAAATTATTATTAATGTAGATTAATGAAATATTTATAAAAACAATTTTGTGTTTGGAGAAAATGTCATATTCTGGTGTATTCTCTACACAGACAAACAAGTTGTTCCATGACGTAATTAAGCTCTTACATTGTATCTGAGGTTTGTTGTTTATGCCCCATTTTTTGTGGGCCATTTTTGCAACAAGCCCCCATTAATTTCCCACCATGCTCTATCTTCATCAGCTGAGTGATCTGGAGAAGAAACACGCCATGCTGGAGATGAACGCGCACAGCCTGCAGCAGAAGCTGGAGACGGAGCGAGAGCTCAAACAGAGGCTCATGGACGAGGTGCTTCAGTTTACTAGCACTCAAAACATGCATGTGTGTAATCGTGCATCCTTACCATAACCAGTGTATCTTTTTCTCTCAGCAAGCAAAACTGCAGCAGCAGCTGGACATGCAGAAGAGCCACATCTTCAGACTGACTCAAGGACTTCAGGACGCGCTGGACCAGACGGACCTTCTGAAGACCGAGCGGACAGACCTGGAGTACCAGCTGGAAAACATACAGGTGCACACATACGCCTGAACCCATGTTTACTGCAGAAGAGTAGCTTTGGGTGTTTAGAATGGCAGTCAACCATACTACTCTTACTAGGCATGTAGTATGTATGCTGTGTATAGTATGTGCAGTTTTCTGTCCCCAGATCAGCTACTGTAGTTGCCAAAATGCACAGTTTGCAACCATAATAGTTCCACAGTGCAGTGCGCTCTATTTGAACTTTAATTTCGAGAGTGATGAATTGCACAAAATTGGTTAAAAAAATAACCATTTATTTCTGAGATTATAACCATCTACTTACAGAATGAAACGGGCAACATAGCGAGGTGACAGCATTGCAGCATAACGCCCACTGCATGCTATTTTTAAAAATAACACTATTTGCTGTTCTGTATACAGTATGTTGTATCAGGATTATTTTAGTATTATCAATACACAATTATAGCTTTTATTAATATTTAGATTTTATATTATTCCATTTATTTTTAATTATTTAATTTTATATAAATGTATTTTATATAGCTGTCAAAAGTTAGAACATTTTCACACGAAATTGGATTAAATGATGCAAAATTATGTCCCATATTATACAGGTTAAAATTGTTGCATACTACATGCTGTTTAAAAATAGTATGCGGTGGCAGGAATGCTAGTGTTCTATTCCAAACACAGAGGTGTGTTCCAATAGCAGTGTGGCTCCCTCTGCTGTTTTAATTTTTTTTAAAGTTTTTTTAATTTCATCGAGTGTTTTTGTCATTTTTTTATCTAAACAGTTTCTATTAATTTTATTTCGTTCAGTTTTAGTTATTTTAGTACTTCATATTTAACTAAATTAATGTCACATTGGCACCTTACTGTGATATTTTAATTCAGTTAATGTTTATTTTATTTCAAGTAATTTTTTTAATGTAAAAAGGTTTTAGTTTAAGTTAATGAAAATTTATGAAAAAATATATATTTTGTATATTAATTATAATAGCTCCCTCTGCAGGCGGCGTACTCTCACGAGAAGGTCAAGATGGAGGGGACCATCACCCAGCAGACCAAGCTCATAGACTTCCTGCAGGCCAAGGTAGAGCACCCCTCTAAGAAGAAAAAGGTCAGAGTCATCCGCTGTAAATTCACTTCATTAACTAATCTGACTAACTGCTTGCTGAGCTGCGCATTAGGTGTCCCTGGAGCTACACACGCAAATAACCGCATACTAACCGCGCCAACCGTCAGAAATCTCATATATATTCATATATACAGAAGCCCTGAATAAGTGAGTTGTAGGAAGGGACACCTAATTTGAGTGGATATGTAGAGATGGAATGGCAGGATAGAGTCCTAGCGTGTCTGTGGGCGTGAGCCTGGGCGATTCACTTGCTCTCGTGTTTTGGGTGCAGGGGCTGTTTGGCGGCAGGCGTCGAGAGGATCTGCTGGCGGCGCTGGCGGCGCAGGGACAGACGCAGGTGCCCGCCGTGACCCCTGTCCCCCTGCAGTACAGCGACCTGAAGGCCGCGCTGGAGAAGGAACGCGCTCGCTGCTCGGAGCTGGAGGAAGCCCTGCAGAAAACACGCCTGGAGCTCAGAGAGGGTGGGACGATCATACTCTGCTTTTACATTCAGTCGTGTGTTACATCTGGAAACTGGTTGCTTGTTTTCTTGTGTTACAATGAACAGGGACTACAATTTGGTCGACAATTACACAAAAGCAACGTGAAACAGAATCATAAAATTGTTTTTTTTGAGTTCTTCAGAAGAAAGTACGTTTTTTTTTTTTTTTCAAGATGAGCTTGAGATAAGCATAAATATCATGAAATACAGATAAAAAGCGAAAGAGAAACTTCTGCTTGAAAGACTTGAATGTAATTTCTCATATATGTTGTCGGAAATGTTTTTAAATAGGGAAATGTCACTGCATAATGGAGTTTAAAAGAAAGTTAGGGGCAGATTTTTACATAAAGCGCATAAAGAATTTCAGAAAAGACAGTGAAAGTTTGATAGTTTAATTTTAAATACAAGTTAACATTAATTTAGTTTTATATGGTATATATGGTTTTGTATTTTTACATGGAAAATGTTTTTAGAGTTTAGAAGACTCGAATTCTGACTAGAAAGGATGATAATGCAGACTATTAATTATATTATATTAATGTTTTTATAGACTATAATTACAATTATTGCAATATATACTACTGTTTAAAAGATGAAGGTTTTTAATAATATGTATACTTAAGTATTAATAATAGTAATAGTTTTATTCATCAAGGATGCATTAAAGTGATCAAAAGTGAAAGTAAAAATATTGCTTTAAAATGCAAATGAATTTTGAATATTTTATATTCATCAAAAATAAATGTATTTTTTATAAATACATTTGTATTTTTATTTATCAAGGATGCATTAAATTAATCAAAAGTAACAGTGAAGACATTTATAATGTTACAAAAGATTTCTATTTCAAATAAATGCTGTTCTTTTGGACTTTTTTCTTATTGAAGAATAATGCATCTCAGTTTCACAAAAATATTCAGCTGCACAACTGTTTTCAAAATTGCTAATAATCAGAAATGTTTGTTGAGCAGTAAATCAGCATATTAGAATAATTTCTGAAGGATCACGTGACACTGAAGATTGGAGTAATGATGCTGAAAATTCAACTTTGATCACAGCAATAAATTACATTTTACAATATATTACAATACAGAATTCATTTAAATTGTAATAATATTTAGCTGTCAAATGAATGCAGCCTTGGTGAGCAGAAGAGACTTTTAAGCGGTAGTGTAATAAAGGTTTTTTAAATGACACATTCTATTAAACAATAAGTAAACGTGCCACACACTGAGTGTAATGTTGTCAGACATGCTGGTTTTCTCAGTATAGTCTCTCTGTCGTCTCACTGTATTCTCTCCTCTCAACAGTTCAGTTTAATAAAGCTCTGGAGCACAGCGGTTCTCCAGCCACCCCGGGTTTGGCTCGTCAGCAGCTCATGATGTCCACTAAATCCAACAAATCCCCCGAGCACCAGCCCAGCAGCGGCCTGATGTCGTCCAGCTCCGGCCGCAGGAAGGACGCTGCCAATCCTGAAGGTTAGAAGCCAGACGCAGAGCTTTTGCAACCTTTTTAATATTCAAAACATAAGCAAAACAACAATTGTGTTCTCTTGGTCCTTCTTGCCATTTCATCTCATGCTATGAAAAGGGAAATTAAATCAGAAGCTTGGAGGAAAATGCTGATGTGATGTGTATTTTGATGCTGTTTCAATATAAGATGAGGAGACTGTGTCCTCTGAAGGACTCCAGAAATGTTTTGGCTCATGTCTGTCCACACTCACTGTCCTCTCTGTTGTCGTTCCACAGAAATAAGGAGAGCCACTTCTGAAAGTAAGTTCTTACATAACAGGCTCAGGCGGCCCACTCTCAAGAAACCGTGCCATTTGTGCTTGAAATATCAGGATTTTTTATTTAATTATTTACACTTTTATTTCTAAAGGTTACTGATGAACCTTCAAGATTATATGCCTAAAAATCATGAAATACAGATACAACTAACAAACTTCTGTTTGAACTATATGGTCAGAAAAACTTTGACACCATTTCTCAAATACAATTTCAGAAAGGTCAAACCATTATTTTAAAATGTGGAAATGTATCAAAATAACAGTTTCACATTCACAGCAGAAACATTCTGCATTATTACATAAAATGCATAAAGCATTTTAGAAAAAAACTTTTATATACATACTATTAATGTTTTTATTATACATATTATTAATATGATATTATATATATATTAACCGTTGTGTGTACATACATATATACACACACACACACAGACATACGCACACACAAACCTCAGAGCTGGTTTCACCCTCTGGTGGAGAAGTGTTCTCAGGAGAGGACATTTTCAGCTTGCTTTGGCCTGTATGCATAAGTTATATAGACGGGCATAAAAGACACAAGACTGTTTCTAAGAAAGTACATTTGTTTGTTTGATCCTGTAGAGTACACCAGACGTGTGAAGGACAGGATTCATCACAACACTGCTCACCGCTTCACACAGGGGCTCAACATGAGGGCGGCCCGCTGCACCGTCTGTCTGGACACCGTCCATTTTGGACGGCAAGCCGCGACATGCATCGGTACGGATTACATGTAGACCATTTCCAAATACATTGTCACTGTACTTACAAGTAGGGATGTGCCAATATGACTTTTTACACGAATTTAAAAAAAAATTTTCAAGTCAAAAGTATTATTAAAAAATAAAAAGTATATTAATGTAACATCACTGAATCAGCCTAATTAAATTTTTTATACCATCAAAACCATTTTTTGGGGGTTAAACTAAGTAGAAATAGCTTAAGTAACAAGTACAGGTTAACACTTTATGTTGTGAAAAAGGGAATCATAATTGTTTGGTTTAATTTGTTTAGTAAATAAATGATTCCTTTAGTCGCTTTCTTTCTTATTATTTCCTGTCAACCCTGTAAAACATGAAGCTAAATTAAGTTGTTTTTACATATTATACATCATTTACACAAGTGAAATGTGCTTTCTTCCATTGCAATATGTCATTTTTTCAGGAAACAAATTACTTTAGGGATGCAAAAAGGCAGAAAGTTTCAGAAAATTTCCGGAGACATTACAGAATTGGAAAGTTTTAGAAAATTTTGGACATTTTCTGCCCCTTTGCAACCCTATATTAACTATGTGTGATGAGTTTCTAAATATAATTTAATAGGAAAAAAATTATGGAAATAATGGAAAATGGAAATAGATTATTTTTATTTAGAAAAAAACTTAGAAAAAAAGTTTCAATTGCATTACATTTCTGAAAACTAGTCGATGCTGCTGCATTAGTGTATCTAATATAACGGCTGAGCAAATTTATATATTTTTTCCTCTCTGAAAGTCATGTTGGGTTTTATTTATTTTGATAATGGAACTCATGGGAATGCAATAATTATTTGTCGTATTGTTCGTTCACCACTATAGAAGTTACTATGATGACTTGTGCTTCTAAAAAACACATAAATGTGAAAAGGGCCCACTGTTGTTTCTTAATATATATTGCTGACCCAATCAGGTCAACCTGGGCTAAAGCTGAAGATTCTGATCCTCTTTCTGTGTTGGTTTAACCATCTTCTCTCTGCTGCTTCAGAATGTCACGCTTTGTGCCACCCAAAATGCTCCCCGTACCTTCCAGCCACCTGCGGCGTGCCCACAGAGTACGCACTGCACCTGTCCGAGGCTCTGTGTCGGGAAAAGGGAAGCACCTCTGGTTTGAAAGACGTTGGTGGACATATGAGGCTGGAAGGATGGCTGAAGCAGCCCAGGTGAGCCGTGTGCCATGAGCATGAACACCATCAGAAGAGAAGCAAGCACTAAGTGTACATGGAATTGTGGTTGTCCTCCTGCAGAAATGGGAAGCGTGGTCAGGGCTGGGAGAGGAAATACGTGGTGCTGGATGGATGTAAAGTGATCACCTACGAGACAGAACCAAGAGATGGTCTGTGAATGTTTTTACTTTTCCCAATTTAATTACTGGGGTGCCTCAGGGCTCAGTTCTTGGACTTTTCTGTTTGCACACAGCATATTATTACAGAGCAACTGTTCATCTCTGCTGGAAAATCTTTATTCATACTAGCTTAACCTGGTCAAGCTGGTCTTTGGATAGTAGTAGCTTGTTTTGACTAAATCTAGGTGGTCACCAGCTTTAAACATCTTGACCAGGCTGGTCTACCAAATCAAGTTGGTAGCTCCTCCTGATCAACAATCTAGACATCTTAAACCAGCTTAAGGAGGTCTGATGATCTCCAAACCAGAGCAGCTAACAAAACCCCTCTAAAACCATCAGTCCAAACCAGCCTAACCATCGGAAACCAGGTTGATGGCCAGAGATGATGCCGTCATGATTGATCCGACCACACTTCCACTTATTCTAACATTTTTTTCTAATTTATGTAAACTTGCATATTTTATACCTAATTTGTTTTTTGTTGTTGTTAAATGTATTTTATTCTGTGTACCAAGATTAAGATTTGAAATTGATAACACCATCTTAGGTTGAATTTAAAGCTGGGACTGGACATAAATGACCAACATGGACAAGCTAGAAACCATTTTAAACTAGTCGCTGCCTTAAACAGTCTAGTTTTATGTTTTCCAGCAGGGATAGACAGGTATGGAATGATGTGCCTTGATGTGAATGATGTATAATCTGTCCTCTCAGAGTCGGTGAAGCCGCTGGATGAGTTTGAGTTGTGTCTCTCTGATGGAGACGTGACTGTTCATTCTGCTGTCGGTTCTTCTGAGCTGCCGAACACGGCCAAGACAGGTGATGCCTGTGGAATTGCACTGTATTATGTCCTTACTAACTTTTTTGTATGCTGAATGTGGATTCAGAAAGTAGTCCATGTCCAGATGTAACATGTTTTTCTGTCTCCTAACATACTTGTATGTGTTCAGATGTGCCGTATGTGCTGAAGTTGGAGTCGTCTCCGCAGTCGACATGCTGGCCCGGTCAGACTCTGTACCTCATGACCTCAGGGTTTTCTGAGAAACAGCGCTGGGTGGCCGTGCTGGAAGCCATTGTGGCCAGCAGTCGTGGGGCGAGAGAGAAAGCCGAAGCAGACGCTGTGAGTGAGAGGAACCAGAAACACCCACAGACCGTTCATAGTGACATTTAAAGAGTCAGTGCAGTGACACGTAAGGCAGAAACTGTAGGTTTGTTTCTTCTTACCAGTACAGTGGGACGCAGGGCAACATACTGATAATCCTAAAAGCTATGCGAAGTGCATCAAATGAAAAATTCACTTTTTAAACATACTGTTCACATCCTCATGATGGTGTTTGTGGTTCTGTACAGAAATTGTTGGGTAACTCCTTACTCAAGCTAGAAGGAGATGATCGCCTGGATATCAACTGCACCCTCCCGCTGACTGACCAGGTACCTGCGTCATCCACTAATATCACAATCGCTTTGAATGTTCAAGATTTATTTCATTATTTTCAGTCTATATTTGTTATAGTTTAATATACCGTCATCTTGTTTTTGTCATCAGATTGTGTTGGTGGGCTCTGAGGAAGGGCTCTATGCCCTGAATGTGATTAAGAACTCCCTCACTCACATCCCGGGTATGGGATCCGTGTTTCAGATCCATATCATCAAGGAGCACGACAAGCTGCTGATGATCGTGGGTGAGCAAAGATCACTATCATTCACTGCTCGTTTCAGAAACCAAAACTGAATGGATTTTGCAACAGCGCAAAAGAAAATTAGCATGGTATTAGACATGTGCCGGTATTCGGTAATGCGATATATCACGGTAATGAATATGCACGATATTGTTATCGTGGGCACTTCAAAATACCGAGAATAATTATTTATTACAAATTATTCCGAATTTTGAATGCATTTTAAGAATACTTTTCCCATCAACTGGTCGCAATGCACAACACCGCTGTATGCTGCGTGAAAGACGCGTGAGCACTCTGATGTAAACAACCACGGATGAGAAGCACATGGCAGAACGCATGAGAGGCGCTCTGGATGAAAGCACATTCACTCTGTGACAGCAGATGGCGCTGAACAGCAGAAATGCAGCCGTTACCCTGGAAACCCGTAAACAAAGTGCTACTTTCTGTTTCTGAAACGTATTTAAATGATTTAAACAGCCATTCAGATTTTTGTATTCGCTATGGTGGTCATCACAGTGCCAAATACTTAAATATTTAGACTTAATAGGCTATTTATTTTCAAACTTTTTTACATTTTAATCTGGACTACAACATGCCCTAGATAGCCTATTGTTTGAAAGTGTTTTGATTCTTTATTGTTCGGTCACACTTTACATAAGGGCTTAATTATTTAACATTAGTTAATTCTTTAGTTAACATAAACTGCCAATTAAAAATTCTTCTAAACATTCATTAATCTTAGGTAATTCCAATATTTAATGACACGTTAAAATTAGGGATGCACCGATACCACTTTTTCCAGTACTCGCCCGATACCGATACTTTTATTTTTGGTACTTGCCGATACCGAGTACCGATACCAATATTTTTATTGCATTTGTACATTTTTTAAATATTGGGTACAGAAACCAAAAGAGTATGTATAATGTTAGTTGGTTAACTTCATTTATCAAATAGATACAGTCAAACCAAAATATATTCAGACACCTTCAACATTTCTCACATTATCACAGTTTATTCACTATAGTTTAACCAGTATCGGTATCGGTGCATCCCTAGTTAAAATCAAAAGTTGCAACTATGTTATTTAATGAGCTAATGTGAACTAAGAATTGTATTTTTTAACAAAGATTAATAACTTCTGTAGCAAATGTAGCTATTGCTCATTGTGAATGTTAATGCATTAACTAAGGTTAACTAATGAGATCTTATTGTAAAGTGATACCTATTGGTCTTTATAATTCTTTTGCACTTTAATCTGTGTGGAATTTTTAACTTTATACATTTTTTCTGTATTGCTTTATTGTATTTAAATGTTCAGCTGTTTTTGTTCTAAGAAAAAAGTTATTAAACCTGTTATACTGTATTATGACAACACTTTTTTGAAACTAAATTTCAACACCGTGATAATACCGTATACCGCGATAAAACATTAGAAATAAATCGCAACATAAAAATTGGATACCGGCATATCCCTACATGGTATACTGTTTTTTTTTTTTTAGACCTTAATATCATGCATTTGTGTACTAAGTACCATGATAATACTATTTTATTCTTTAAAGTATTCCCATAGCTCAAACAGTAGAGCATGGCGCTTGCAACACAAAGAACTATGCAAATACCTTGGTACGTTAATATGCTAATCATTAGATCAAAATACCATGATATTTCGCAGACACTTTTATCCAAAGTTACTTACAAATGAGAACAATAGAAGCAATCAAACCAACAAAAGAGCAACAATATATAAGTGCTGTGACAAGTCCTGGTTGGTCTAACGCAGTACATGTAGCAAGCTATTTTTTTTTTTTTAATAACAAATAAAAAACAAGTAGATAGAATAGAAAAAGAATAGTGAACGCTAGTGTTAGAGGGTCCAACTCCAAGGTTCCTGGCTGTCCTGGAAGGTGTTATGGTTGATGCGCCTAGTTGGATGGAGAAATTGTGATGAAGTCATGGGCTGGCTGAAACCATAAGCAGTTCTGTCTAGGTCTGTCACGATAACAACTTTTTGTTGTGTGATATATTGCCCCAGAAATAATTGCGATAAGCGATATTATTGTAATTTTAAAGACCATTTTATGCCACTGAATATATAATCATAATGTAACAGTATAATAATGCAAGAAGGCCTACACACTTCCAAATGACAACAAATTTTTAAGAATATTTAGATCATGGAAAATAAGTATCAAAATATTAGATACCTTGAAAAACCTGAATAAATAGTAAATAAACATTTTCTAACAAAAAGTGCAAAATAACAAGTAGGAACAAAAGAATAATGCACAAAGAACTTGTATGGAGATTTTTCCCTCTACAGATTTTTCCCTGACCTTCTTTTCTCTGTAAATTAAGGGTGCACTGTATTGCTGAAAAACACAATCCCTACTTAGCAGTCAGATGTCCGTATGCACAAAGACACAGATCCCTAAACAAGACCATATCTGCAGATGAAACTTTGTTTGTAGAAGGATTTTTTAAATTTGAACTAGCACCTCATGACTACAGGTTATGTACGAGAAGCTGCAAAAGACACAGGCGCAAATGGAATGTAAAAAAAACGATGACATAAATTTTTAAGGAAAAATAATGGGCGATATATTGTGTCACCAAAAATTATTGAGGTCATGTACATATATTGCGCGATAAGTTGATATATTGATTATTGCGACAGGCCTAGTTCTGTCTTGGCAAGGTTGATTTGAAGGTGATGGACATGCTGAGATGCGAGCAGCTATCATCGTCAGATCAGGATGGAAGGAGAGGTAGAGTCGAGTGTCATCAGAATAGCAGTGATATGAAAAGCCATGTTTCTGAATGACAGAACCTAGTGATGCCATGTAGACAGAGAAGAGAAGTGGTCCAAGAACTGAGCCCTGAGACACCCCAGTAGTTAGATGTTGTGACTTGGACACCTCACTCCTCCCAAGATACCTTCTTGCATAATACCATCACTGTACCATAGTAACAGCACAGTACTGTTTGACAAAGGATGCATTTAAAGTAAGTTGATTATGATGATGTGTTGCAGGGGATGAACGGGCACTGTGTCTGATGGAGATTAAGAAAGTGAAACAGTCTCTGTCCCAGTCTCACCTCCCCACGCTACCCGAGATTGTGCCGTATATCTTTGAGACCGTCAAGGGCTGTCATCTGTTCGCCGCGGGCAGGGTGAGGCTGCAGTCACCGTGTGTTTCACTGCATTGCAACTTCCTTTCTGTGTATTTTTAGTGCACTGTGTTGCATCATGCCTTGTTGTGACGTGCAATGCAACAAATTTGTACCTTACGTGGTATTTTGTATCTATTCTTGCTTTAGATAGAAAATGGTCCGTGCATTTGTGCTGCAATGCCTAACAAAGTCACAATTCTACGATACAACGACAATCTGAACAAATTCTGTATACGGAAGGTAAGTGACATTCGAGGTTCTGGGACTTGAAGCAAAATAACTCGTATGTCACAAAAAATATGTAGCAATGTCATACCTTTGCAAACAGCTGTGATGTTTGACGTGCTGTTGCCTTCTGGTCTGACTCCAGAGATCGCTCACACAAACACACCCCTACTGATCTGTCTCTTTATCTCTCAGGAGATTGAAACGCTCGAGCCGTGCAGCTGCATCCACTTCACCAGCTACAGCATCATCATTGGTACCAATAAATTCTACGAGATTGAGATGAAGCAGTGTGTTCTGGATGGTAAGTATATCAATGACATCCTGTGGGCGCAGTTAGATCATTGTTTTTAACCTTCAGGTCAGTCCACAATCTACTGACGTCTGATATCTCCTGTGATGGATCTGTTATTGAAAAGGATTCAGCTAGTCATTGCAGTAACATTTGCATATTCCAGGTTGGACCGGCTGGCGGACCATTTGTGAGAACATGATCAGGCACTTATAATTTGTAATTGTGCATTATGTAAACAGCGTTTTGCATGATGGGCTGTTTTTGGCAGAGTTCCTGGACAAGAATGACGTGTCGCTGGCATCGGCTGTGTTCACTGGATCCTCCCACAGTTTCCCCATCTCCATCGTCCAGGTGTCCAGCACTCCGCAGAAGGAAGAATATCTGCTCTGCTTCCACGGTCAGACACCCATCACACCATCTAAACTACAGCAAGTTCCTGTTGCATGAAAATATTAGTTGCATGAGCAACAGTTCATACAAAATCATTACGTACTCACAGTCATGTTGTACCAAATGCAATTTTTTTGTAAAAGTGTAAAAGACAATATTCTATGGCTACGTTTAAATACTCCATTTGATCACATTGCAACACTTTACTTCACTTTCTGTTTTCAATCTGACAAATGAACAAAAAAACAGTATATTTATTCGATTTGCCAAAAGTTACAACATTTTTTTTTTTAAATCTCTGATTAAATATGCCAAATAACTGTCTATTTCAGTTATAAAACCCTATTTATAAAACTGATTATATTTAATTTCTCTTCACTGGATGCCGTCAGCTGCTGAATTAAACATTTCATACGATGACAATGCAGTACTATGCATAGTACAGTACATGCTGTACTATGAAACATTTTTCAGTATTCTTTGTTACTAACTGCATACTCTATTAAAATTGTAGGCATATGCAGACAATGCAGTCCTACGAAATTTTCGAGTTTTTCCCCAGTCATTTTTTTTGTCTTCCCCAAATTAATTTTTTTCCATTTAAATTTTTCTGGATTCCATTTTTTTCTCCAAAACTTAATTTATTAATTTATTTACATTAACAGTGCTCTGTGCTTTTCCCCCCCAGAAATTCTGTGTTGTGCAAATCACTTAAATTGTATTGATTTTCTACATTGTTTTTCTTTAAATGTCTGATTTCTGATAACAGAGATTGGTGTGTTTGTGGATGCTTACGGTCAAAGAAGTCGCCCTGATGATCTCAAGTGGAGTCGACTTCCCCTGACATTTGGTAGCCAGTTTTCCATTTGTAACAAACCGAAATTTATAAAACATAGTGATGAGGATCTTCAGGATCACTAACTGAAGCATCTTCTGTTTCCAGCATTCAGAGAGCCCTATCTGTTTGTGACCTACTTCAGCTCGCTGGATGTTATTGAGATTCAGGGACATGCAGCTCTTGGGTAGGACGTACAGCAACATGCATGCATATAAGACAGCAAAAATAACATTTAGAACTAAAGTGTGACACTAAATCCTCTTTTAAACAGGCCTCCCAGTCTTGTTCACCTGGACATTCCTAACCCACGTTATCTGGGTCCGGCCATATCATCTGGTGCCATCTATCTGGCCTCGTCCTATCAGAACAAACTGCGGGTCATCTGCTGTAAGGGCAGCCTGGTGCGGGAGTCTGGGGAACTGCAGAGGACCGGTTCTAGCAGGAGGTGCGGGTTATGACAATTTATTAGAGTGAGAGCCTGGCTTTAAATTCTGAGTGAATGAGTCACTCACTATTGAAAATCAGATGTTGTAAATTTGCAGATTTAAACTTTTACTTTTAAACTTTTAAGTTACTACACTGCTGAACTGAAAACAGTCAAATTTAATGGAAGAATTATATGTTGCGATTATTATAAATAATCAGGGATTAAAAAACAAATTTTCTTTTTCATTTTAGTAGGGCTGCCCTCGACTGAAGATTTTTCTGGTCGACTAGTAGTCGTTCATTTGAAGCATTAGTCGACTAATCGCCCACATAGCCTAAGCGCTCAAGCGCACACATAAAGCTTGCCACAGCGCACCGACAGAAGTAATGATTATGAATGTGTCAGGGAAAAACAGTAAGGAGGCTGCATTAACATTTTAATAATGTATTGATACACTAGTGTTTCTTTGGTTTTAGATTAAGAGATTAAGAGATGAAGTCGGCAACACTGACTCGTCATCTCCGCAGTAGTGATGGGCCTGTGTGCATGTTTCATACGAATTACATAATCAGAGAACATTTGTTTTCCATTTGAATTGGTTCATTTGAAAGTAGACATTTCGCTCTCTATAGATTTTTCATAACTGTAAGGCAAGCATACACAGAGTTTTGGAGTTTCGCGCTCAAGTTCAGAGAGACCGAGGCGGCAGAAAGAGCATCCTGTTTGCTTTCATTATTTTACAAAAGCTCATTTTGTTGTTATTGTGAGTGCACACAAATAAACGTTGAGTCTTTACAGAGTCAAAATATGTATTACTCTTATCTGTATGACCAAAAATGAGGGAGTATTTTAAGAGCAAGTGAGCACACCGGCGCCTTCATCTGTCCTGCAGTGATCGCTACTGTTCAGCTTTCATACTCCGCACAGACACTTCTATAGCGCACATTTTTCTAGGTTCTGATCTGTCCGTCATGGACTGCTTGACTTCGCCTGTGGATTTTTTTAAAATGTAAATTTTTTTCTGCGACTAATAACATTTTGGCCGACCAAGCCTCGACTATTAGGGGCAGCCCTACATTTTAGTTTGTTTGGCGCAACAGAGAAAACAGAGAGCCAGAAACACATCTTAGTGTAACCTAACACGGTCACTACAGTCAATTGTGGACTGTTATTTTCATATTATTTATATAGTATTATAGTATTCATTAAGGTTTTTTAAATATCTTTAATTTTTAATATTTTAGTTTTAATTTGAATTTTAGTTTAAGTTTAAGTTTGAATAAATCTGCTATGTTCTTTGAATTAAAAATTGTAGGAAAAAAATAATAATGCTATTAGCTAGTAACATTCACAACAATTGTTGCAACAATTCTTTTATGTTCTGCAAAAAGTCTCGTTTTTTGTTCTGTTTCTAATCCCAGGAAATGTAATTATTTGATGTCTGCTATCTATGGAACCTTATTTTTGCCAAAGAATAAAAATCTAAAAAAGTTAAAAGGCAACTTATATCTCATAATTCAGAAATTGTCTCAGAATTGTAAGCTTATATCTTGCATCTTATATCTTGCTAATATTGTGAGTTTACATGGCACATTCCTGACTTTTTTCCTATGAATTCTGCATGTGCATGCAATTCCAAGAAAGGAGTTATAATTGCGAGGTGTAAATTCATAATTCCAAGAAAAAAGTCAGAATTGTGAGATGTAAATTCATAATTACAAGAAAGAAAGTCTGAAATGTGAGATGTAAACTTAGAATTCTGAGAAAAAAAATCTGATTTACAAGATGTAAACAGAATTCTAAGGGAAAAAAGTCAGAATTGCCAGATGTAAACTGAATTCTTAGAAAAAAAAATAATTGTGAGATATAAACTCAGAATTCTAAGCAAAAAAGTCAGAATTGCCAGATGCAAACTCAGAATTCTGAGAAAGTCAGAATTGCCAGATGTATACTGAATTATAACAACAACATTTATTTATAAATCACATTTAAACACAATGTAAATTGATCCAAAGTGCTGTACAGTGATCAAACAAATCTACTAATAAAAACAACAACTACACACATACAAAGGCTAAAGAGTAAAAATAAGATTTAAGTCTAGACTTAAAAATGTCCAAAGAAGGAGCAGATCTCACATGATAGGGGAGACCATTCCAAAGCTTGGGGCCAACCACAGAAAAAGCCCGATCACCCTTTGATTTGTACCGACACCGTGGTACAGTTAGAAGCAAGTGACTCGAAGATCTAAGTGCCCTAGCAGGACAATATGGCACAAGAAGTTCAGAAATATAACTTGGTGCACAACCAGACAATGCCTTATAAACAAACAGAAGAATTTTAAAATCAACCCTGAATTTAACGGGAAGCCAATGAAGGGATGATAAGACAGGAGAAATGTGATCCCTCTTTTTTGACCCAGTCAAAAGTCTTGCCACAGCATTTTGAACAGCTTGCAATCGTGACAATGAAGATTGAGGAAGACCAGAATAAAGAGTTACAATAATCCAATCGAGATGTAACAAGTGCATGAATCACAACTTCCATATCCTTCCTTGAAAGAAGATGCTTCAACTTTTTTCAATAGATCTCAAATGGAAAAATCTTGCTCTAACAACAGCACTAATTTGTTTATCAAAAAATAGAGTGTCAAAAATCACTCCAAGGTTTTTGATTTGTTTGCGTACATTAGTTGAAAGTGGAACTAACTGAACTTCCAAAGTAGGAGACGATTGTGCAGGACAACCTAATATTAAAACCTCGGTTTTATCCTCATTTAACTGCAGGAAATTATTAGACATCCATGTCTTAATATCATGTACACATTTCAATAATACATCAAATGAAACAGCAGAATCAAGCCTTACTGGTAGATAAAACTGAGAATCATCCGCGTAACAATGATATGAAATACTGTATTTTTGAAAAATGTGGGCCAAGGGAAGCATATAAAGGGAAAACAGTAAAGGTCCCAAAATGGATCCCTGGGGCACTCCACACAAGACAGGTGCAGCGGAAGTGAAAACATTTCCTAAATTTACAGAAAAAGTCCTGTTCTCGAGATACGAGGCAAACCACTTTAATGCAGTGCCTCGAATACCTACCACACATTCAAGTGAATCAAGAAGAATGCGATGGTCAATGGTGTCAAATGCTGCGCTCAGGTCCAACAATACCAACACAACACAAGCACCTGAATCCGGAGAAAGCAACATGTCATTTGTAACTCTCAATAGAGCTGACTCAGTACTGTGTAATGATCTAAAACCAGATTGAAACTTATCTAAAACACTAAAAGAATCCAAAAAAGACTGAAGTTGTAAAAACACTACTTTCTCCAAAAGCTTGCTGATAAAGGGCAACTTAGAAATTGGCCGATAGTTACAGAATATTGCTGGGTCAAGCTGAGGTTTTTTCAGCAGAGGTTTCACAACTGCATGTTTAAAACTGGCTGGAACAACACCTATGGCTAAAGAGCTGTTCACTATAGTTGTCACAATAGGACTAATAGTCGGAAAAACATCCTTAAAAAGACGTGCAGGAATAATATCTAACTTAGAAGCAGAACACTTCATAGTTGAGACAATATCATCTAGCTGATGTGATAAAACAGGTTGAAAGGACGACAAACAACTTGTGGTACAAGGCAATTGCAAATGAAGTGATTCAGAAGGCGCAATGGAGAATCTGATAGCATCAATTTTTTGAGTAAAATAGTTTAAAAAATCCTCACAAAGTTCCGAGGAGGCCTCAGATAATAGATTCATTGTTGGGTTTAAAAGAGAATCAATCATATCAAACAAAGCTTTTGGTCTATTCACATTATCAGCAATTAACTGAGAGAAATAACTAGATTTAGCATTTTTTACTGCTATTTGATCATTAGAGAGACTTAACTTTAAGATATCAAAGGAAACATGCAGCTTACCTTTTTTCCACTTTCGCTCTGCTTTCCGACACTCTTGTCTAAGAGCGCGGGTGGTTTCATTTAACCATGGCTGGCCAACACCCTTTACCCTTTTATGCTTAAGCGGAGCAACAGTGTCCAAAGATGTAGAACAAGCTTTATAAAATCCTTCAATCAAACTTTCAGTATCAGTTTCGTTAAGGATATCATTGGTAACATGTAAAGAATAATGTTCCGAAAATAAATTTGCAGTGTTAGAATTAATAACTCTAGACCAATGTGAATGCTGAGCGAAAGTAGGTGATGGAGAAAAGCATTCAGATTCAAACAAAACTGGATAATGATCAGACACACATGCCTCAATAACCTCCATGTTTGAGATCAAAAGGCCACGGGACAAAACCAAGTCAAGTGTATGACCCAAATTATGAGTTGGGCCACATACATATTGTTCAATATTCAGTGACTCTAAAAGAGTTACAAATTCCTTGACCAATGGTTTCGAAGGACAACAAAAATGAATATTAAAATCCCCAATGATTAGTAATCTATCAGCCTGAGTCACCAGATCAGACAGAAAATCCGAAAATTGACAGATAATATCCTTATTCCATTTAGGGGGTCTGTAAACCAAAGCACATAGTACAGGCCCCTTTACATCAATCTTCAATAGCTGGACTTCAAAACTGGAGAAAGTATCAGTGGGCACAGTCTTACATTTAAAACAGCTTCTAAAAACTGTTGCAACTCCACCACCATGTCCAGAGGCCCGTGGAGAACTAAAAAATGCACAGTCTGGAGGAGCAATCTCAATAAGAGGCATCAAGTCACCATGTTTTAACCAAGTCTCAGTAATAAATAAGAAGTCTAATGAATGCGATGTAAATAAGTCATTTAGAATAAAAGATTTATTCGATATTGACCTAGCATTCACTAAGGCCATCTTAGCAGTAGTAGTACAGGCTGACCGCTGAGAGCTGAGAGGTACGTGTTTGAGCAAAGTGATATTTCCAAAATTGATGCTCCGACTCTTACCATCTGATCCGATGGAAGAACGGCGATATGACAACCAAATGACCGGGATATAATCATTATCCTGCGATGGAGTCACAGACCTCGCAAGGAAATCACGGCGTGTAATTCCCAGTGCGGCACAGCGGTTGTATATTTCACCGGGAAGACGGTAGAACGAATTTAGTCTCTGTAGATCCAATGAAGAGTATTTAAGCACCATGCTCGGAAGGCATAAGAAAAAAGTCTGAAATCTGAGATGTAAACGGAATTCTGAGAAAAAAAACCAGAATTGCCAAATGTAAACTCAGAACTCTAAGAAATAAAATTAAAATTGTGTAAACTCAGAACTCTAAGAAATAAAATTAAAATTGTGTAAACTCAGAATTCTAAGGGAAAAAGTCAGAATTGCGAGATGCTAACTCAGAATAAACTCAGAAAAAAAGTCAGATTTGCAAGATGTAAACTCAGAAATCGAGAAAAAAATATGAATTTTGAGATGCAAACTCAGAATTATGAGGAAAAAAAGAACTGCGATATGTAAATTCAGAATTCTAAGGAAATAGTCAGAATTGCGAGATGTAAACTCTGAATTCTGAGAAGAAAGTCAGAATTGCGAGATGTAAATTCAAAAGAAAAATGTCAGAATTGCGAGATGCAAACCCCAAATTCTAATTAAAAAAAAGTCAGAATTGCAAAATGTAGACTAGCAATTCCGATTAAAAAAAAACTGCAATAACCTTTTTTTATATTTTTACTCTGTGGCGGAAATAAGCTTCCATAGTTATCATACTGCTGCTGCTGTTAGTGATCTTACCACGGTTAAAGGGATTCTCGCTAAAAACATCCCTTACTCGTGGTAAAATCACACGTGGCCTTGAGTTGCTTATTGCTTCATCAATATTTCATGTTCACAAACCGTATAAATCATCTTGTGTGCAGTCAAAGCATCATGCATTTACCCAAATCTTCACAGCAGCCCAAACAAGCGCGGACCGCCCACCTACAACGAGCACATCTCCAAGCGCCTGGCCTCGGGTCCCGGGGCCCAGGAGGGGCCGCTGCACCGCGAGCCCAGCACCCCTCACCGCTACCGCGAGGGCCGCACAGAGTTCCGGAGGGACAAATCTCCGGCCCGGCCTCTGGAGCGCGAGAAATCGCCCGGTCGGGCTGTGCTAGACAGCCGCAGGGAGAGATCGCCAGGGCGCTTCGAGAACAGCGGCAGCGAGAGAGACCGGGAGCGTTCGCGCCTTCACTCTAGCTCTGTACGCACCCAGCTGACCCCCGTCAACAAGGTACGCATGAGACACTGCCACGTAAACTGTGTATCCTCTTAGGGATACAAACATCAGGTTTGACGATGTTCATGCATGCTCAAATGCATGAACATCCGCTGCTTTGTAGTTAAATTCCTTCTAGTTATGGCCTCAAACAGGATGCTCAGCAGCAGTAATGCAGCAGTAATGATGTTTCTGAGCTGATCTGCGTCAGACAGGGCAGGCAGCCAGTTGAAGTGTTGAAGTGACCTCTTTATCCTGGTGGTGGTGTAGGTTTGGGACCAGTCTTCAGTCTGAGAGCGTCCCGGAGGGATGACGTAAGAGCCATCATCCACCTCCCGCGTGGATGGACTTGCCCTTTTAACAGGCGCTTCGTAAAGCTCTGAACTATATCATCTCATGCCTGTAACCGTGAACAGAGCCATGTTATTCACTCGCAGCCCCAGAGTCTGGGACATTGTGCTGATGTTGTAAACTCTGTCCATGCTGTAACCATTCATGAAGGTCCAATGTAAAGAAAAGCAACTGCGATTTTTTGGGAAAAGACTTTGAAGAATATCCCGGGTTCAGTACGGTAAGCTCTGTCAACAGCATTTTGTGGCATAACGGCCATTACTGCAGAAAAATGTTTTTGATTCTCCCCTTATGTAAAAATTGTGGTAACAGTAAGACATTTACAATGGAAGTAAAACAGGAACAGGCACTTTATGAGTTTAAGGCAAGACACTACAAGCAAACACATTTGTTTTTTTTCAGGCACTGGTAAATTTTGCGATTTTGGGCAATTTTAACTTTCATTTTTCTATCTAGTGAAAAGTTATTTTTATACAATTTATCTATTAGCATCACTAGATTTCAATTATAATACACTGGCCATTTTCTCAAAAGGAGTTTTTTCCACTTCAGCAGCACTTAGAGCAAATTTTACAGTTTCATTCCTATCTAAATTCTGAAGGTTTTTACAGACATTTATAACATTTTATTTCTTAACACTGATATATTTTTTTCATTTTCTGATTTATGGAGTGATTTTAAAAAAGGAAAATTCAAAATATTAACGTTCAGAACATTAATTAGTGTCAACAAATCGAAACTAAAATTTCGAAACCTGGCATTATCCAATGTTCAGATTTCTGTTCTGGAAATGTATGTACAAAAATATTTTTTCTCTTCAACAGAAGAAAGAAACCCATAGAGGTTTGGAGCAACTTGAGGGTGAGTAAATGATGACAGACTTTTCATTTTTGGGTGAACTATCGCTTTAAAAAAGAAAGAAAGAAAAAAAGTTAATTGCATAATGCTAAAACACACAAATTCTTCATTAAAATATATATATTTGAACTATAAAGTGTCTTAATCATCCACTTAGTGGTAGGACTACTTTAGGTTGTGTTGTTTCGTTCATGTAAACGGGCTCATTGTAGTATCCCTGTGTGAAAATGATCAATTCACTGACCTTGACCAGCACTGATGAGGTTAGTAAGCAATTGTATCTCACATTAAAAATGTACTTCCATTGTGTTTTACTGGAACCACCATTTTTGGTTTAGTTGAAATTATGATCTGTGGTAACTGACAACACACCACAAATGCTGTACATTTATACTAAACTCAGAATATTCCTTCAACTTAATCACGTGATTCGCACATTGTAAATATGGTGATTTCAATTTTTATAGCTAAACGGAACTTGACTGATGAAGCTACGAAGTCTATTTTTTATGCTATTAAACTGTTTGTATAGACAGCTGAAATGGGTTTCCTACAGAAAAGTACAGAAAAGGTTTTATTTCCATGTATGTTGTATGCTAATGTGGTAATTCGGCTGCTCTTAATGACAGTTTGTCCAGTTTTTTAAGCTCTATTTGACTGACATTATCGAACCTACTGCACATTGTATATTTTTATGCTAATAGAGTCTGAGCTAGTAAATCTTTTTAAAGAGACTCTTCATGTTCTGGCTACAAGTGTCCTTGTGATGTTCAAGTGAACTTATCGTATTTTTGTCGGAAATAACGAAGCTTTCGTCGACACACTCGCACACGGTGACAGCAGCGGTTCCGCGGGGCTCTTCTGGAAATTTCTGCAGCTTATCCGTTAACGGACGTCCTGTTCAGCTGTGACGTGAAATAATGTCCGGTAGCCCTCAGGGTTTGTGGAAGATCTTCTGTCGTTCCTCGTGGAATATGAAAACAACTCAGAGGCATTTTGAGTTAATGGGTAATTGTAAGCAAACGCCTGAGTGATCATATCAAACGCATGAGTAAATTCTGACTTGGTTTTGGGACGTCCCGTCATGTACTACTACTACCTTAATATTGATAATCGATGTTTTTCACCTAACAAGGCTGCTTACCTTGACCTTTCTTTTTGTATAAAGAAATGAAGCTATATTAAAGTATGAGCCATACTCAGTTCTCCTGGCGTCGAGTCGTTCTTTTGGTCCGTCAGAATTGGAGCACGTGATCATCACAATCGCGCGCTTTCCGTTCATTACCGATTCTTCATCCGAGCCAGATCGTGGGACTTGACAGCGGAGCAGAGCAAACGGTAAGAGCATCCAAAAGGTTTGGAAATGCTAAACATTTTGGCAGATGAGAGACAAAATTAATAATGAAATAAAAGCCAGTGTCTGATTTGAAGTCCAGCGGGCAACGGAATGACGTCAGTGCTGGAGAAGCAGGCCAGGTGGATTCAATCTACGTTTTGATTATTTGAAAAAAAATGAGATACATTTTTTTGATGATTCTAATAATGAGGTTTAGTTTAGAATTTATTTTGTAATCATTTATAATTTTTCATTCATAAATTTACATGAGAAATTCTTTAGAATTAATATTCTCTTGAAGGTGTTTGTACATGTGCGTAAACAGAAAAATGGGTTTTATCAGCACCTATGCTACAGAATGTCAGGTAAAAAGGATTTATTAGTATGCTTCATGACTGCTGGGATGTTGATGCACTACATTTGACTCTGTGAGAAATTGAATGTTGGTCTAATTTCTCATTTATTTAAAACGAGAACCCCTTTCATAACCCAAACCATTTGCTGTTGTGTTAAGGTAGTAACGCTCATTCATTTTTATCATGTATGAGTGACTTTTTTGTCTCTAAATTACCAAGACATGGCAAATGCCTGCACAAATGAACATACATTTAATCTAACATTTTAAACTTTGTTCACAATTCAAGATTTTATAAAACTTTGCATGCATTAAATAATTTGAGGATGTTTATCATTGATAATGTTGAAAGTTAAAGTGATTGACTTTTTGTTCATTCAACTCTAAACTGCTGAAGATAATTATCATCTCTGGTTCATTATTTGATGATATATGCATCATGTTAAAGTCTTCAGGTTTTCCCTGTCTGCCTATTTTGAGCAAGAAGATTTAATAAATAGCTTTAATGGAGCCTGAGTAATTATGTAATTATCATGTTTCCAGCTTTAAAGTGGTTATTGACAGTTTCATAAATCAGGGCTTCCCAAACGAGTTTGTGAGGGAGTTAATGAAAAGCTAATTGAATCAAAGTAACAACATATACATTTTCAACTAAAAAGCAATAAAAATAAATGTTAGCATATAAATAAAATGCAATATTTAAAAACAATTAACAAAATCTGTATGTAAAACTAGTAAAAAGAGATTCAATATTTTTAATGTTTACCTGCAGTGTTAAATTACTGAAAATATAAATAAAAAAATCTCAGGGGTCTGGTAAGTAAATATTTGAGATCAAAGGGGTTCAGATGACAAACAGTTTGATAATTCATGTCATAGATCAGTGAAATGAGTCCAGCATTGACTTCAGTTTGGAATTCCACTTTGTTTTATTCTTACAGAAATCTGCGACAGTGTATTTCTGATGATTACCAATGTGCAAAATTTAAACCCATGGAATTTACTCTTTCTGGAAAACAAACAAAAAAAATTCACATTCATGGATTGGCGTTAATGCAAAAGCTGTCCCACCGCCGACACAACATTTTTTTTCAATATTTACTCACCGTCTTGCCATTTACAGGAGTTTTCAAGATTTATGAGGCTCTTTTTCATAACCATCACATCCATCAAGCTCCAAAAAAGACAAACACTTGCAGTCACTGTCATTGTATGGAAAACAGCTGCATAAAGAGACTCCAAAATCCTCCTTTTGAGAGGAAAAAAACAACATAAGGGTGAGTAAATATTAAATGTGTTATCAGGTGAACTCCTGATTGAGGGAATTGTCTGAATGAACCTCCAAAATGCTAATAAAATGGGAAGCGAAACAAAAGAGACTTTGATTGTGATTTGTGCGTTGTGTGTGTGCCGCCGACACAACATTTTTTTTTTAAACCGGTCAATATTTACTCACCGTCTTGCCATTTACAGGAGTTTTCAAGATTTATGAGGCTCTTTTTCATAACCATCGCATCCATCAAGCTCCAAAAAAGACAAACACTTGCAGTCACTGTCATTGTATGGAAAACAGCTGCATAAAGAGACTCCAAAATCCTCCTTTTGAGAGGAAAAAAACAACATAAGGGTGAGTAAATATTAAATGTGTTATCAGGTGAACTCCTGATTGAGGGAATTGTCTGAATGAACCTCCAAAATGCTAATAAAATGGGAAGCGAAACAAAAGAGACTTTGATTGTGATTTGTGCGTTGTGTGTGTGTGAGGAAGGGGCTTCATCTTCAGTGCAAACGCAGCTCAAACCCATCAACACTGATTATCCTGCGGTCTAGCAATTGTCAGGATTGAACATACGATTCAGACAAAATAAACCTGATAATAAATAAGTGTTGGGAGGGGAAAAAAAACAAAACAAAAGGGGCCCTACTGCAGCATATCACAAACAATATCTCTCTCCACATACAACATCTCTATTCGTCTGTTCAGCGTCGCTGGGAGAAACATAAGAATGCATTAAAAAGAAAAACCCCAAATGGCTACAACTGGGGAAAAACAACACAACTTATATTTGGTGACTAATTTAGTGAGCCACTATTTAAAAATTCTATACAATTTCTCATTTTAAATGCTATATGTCTCATTCTTATATCATTCTAATATATTATCTCATTTATGTTACAAAACAATGCACTAGTGAGAACGTCGGCCAACGTCCACACAGCAGATCAGAAAAACAAGAGCGCCATCTAGCGGCCCGTCACTACACAGTCAACATTAGCCAGAGGGAGAATGCTTTAATCTGAGAAAGAAATTAACAAGAGTCTGGAATTAACGGGGAAACTGGATGCGTCCGAGAGTCGGAATCACCTCAAAAAGAAAAAGAAAACGAAAAGCCCGCGAAAGAGATGAGAACTCAAAAACAAAGCTAGGATCTTGCGGTCTCGTCCCAGCAGCACCTTTCTCAGGAACGCCACTGATAATCTATCTTTGTGAGATGACGAGGGAAGAAATCCTACTTTTGCACACACCGTCCGTTGGAGAAGCGCTTCCCTCTATGCAGCAGGAACAGGACAAGTTTCATCGCAAATGAAGACGAGCTCTCAATCGCACCCTGTCTCTTCTGAAAGTGCTAAGCTTCCTCTCCTCATCGTTCCATATATACATGATTCCCTTTCGGGTGGGAAAGAAGCGTCTTCGGCCTCACACAACAGTCTCTGGAGCGTCTCGGTGCGTCTGGGATCAGTTGGAGCTGGCGGTGATGGGTTTGTCCAGCTCGATGCTCAGGGGCGGCGCGGGAGTCTCCAGGCTGCTGAAACACAACTTACACACGCGACTGGGCTCAAACAACTGCTGGCTTGGCACCGGGATCTTCTGATCGCAACAGCTGGCACAGAACACATTCCCACAATTCCTGCAGAGGTCAGGACAGGAGAGGAGGAGGAAGTCAGAGAAAGAGTTTAGAAAGGAAAAAAGAAAGAACAGAATTAGTGCCTTTATAAAGAACTCTTAGAATTTAAACTAGGGAAGCCTAGAATACATTATATATAAAAAAAAAAAATTATTTCCTGAAG